TCATTCCCAGGGCCCTTGGGTTCACAATGGCTAGAGAGCCGGCCCTGGGAAGCCCCTCTAAGCTCCCGCACAACGCAAGGAAATGCCAAAGGGACCTCCCTCTCTTTGGCCTGTGGGATTGGCTCTCCTGTGGCTTTCCTAAGATCCCCCCAACTCTATGCATAGCTGCTTATTTTGCTTTTGGTTTCATGTTCAAACGGATGGATCATCTCAAGAGACGTAACCACGCAATGAAGGGATGAAAACGCATCCCAGCCTCCCCGGAGAAGTCCGCCCCAGAAGTCTTCTGATACCTACACAATTACATAATGTGAGCAGAGCTGTTGATTCATGATTTTGTACATAACTAGGAAGACACAAATGAGCCCATAAAACAAAATTGTTTAGATTAGAGGCTACGTCTGTATACAGACCTCCCATTTACTGGGCGCTTTCTGCGTGCAGGAGCCATCATGGTGATGGCCACTTTGAGATGGAGACTGGGGCAGGCATTGTTTTATGGACCTATACCCATCATTTACTTTACTCCTCAGGACAGATATGCGAGGCAGCTGCTGATACAATACCCATTTGTACAGATGAGAAGGTTAAGGCATAGAAGTGTTGATGTCACACAGCACAAAAGGGCAGAGGTGGGTTATTAGCTTCTGCCTGGTGGGCCCCAAGGACACACTTTTAACCAGATTAATGTACCCCTCCCCATTCCCACCAAACTCAACCTGCTGAATGGTAACAAGTCAATAAGACAGCAATGAGAGGAATTCTTACCCACTGCTAATGTGTCCAGAAAAGCCTGGAAACATAGGAGGTAGTTCATGGTGACCAGCTACCTGGGAAAGTAGTGATGCCAGCACACTAGAGAGGCATGATACTTCTAATATTTTACATTGCACATTATGAGGACCTGAGTCATGCTTTAAACTTAGTGTTGTCCAAGGTGACACGGTCCCGTGGACACCGGAGTATCCCTCCACCTTCCAAGAGGGCTTGACCTTGGTGCTGTCCTGGCGCCCAGACACTTCCTCTGTGCCCTACTTCCTCTGCACTGGGGCCAGGAGATGCCCTCACCAGCGTGAGGTCCACATGTCCTGTGAGGATGAGATTGTACTGACCACATTCAGAACACTTTCAGTAAAAGGTGACTTTGTTTTGGATTCTCAGTGAACTGTTAGATTTCCATGTGCAGTCATCCACAGCCCCCAGCAACTCAGGCTCAAAGCTGTGAAGGCAGAGACTGCATGGCTGAGGACAGGCCCTCAGGAGCTAAGTCCAGAGCCAGGCCCTGCCTTCTTAAGAGGGTCTCAGACAGGCTCTAGAGTCACCACTCTTGGGAGCTTGGCAGATAGGACAATCCGATCTCCTGGCAGGCCAGCTGTAGCTGCCAGTATTGTCCAAGACATCCTAGGCTTGGCTCTTGGACCAACAGTGTGGTCAGGGCAGCTGCCACCAATAGTCCCTGAAGGAAGGACCCTCGCCTCCACCATGGTGCTGGGTACACTCTGTCTGCCCTGCCCCCACGCCCATGCATTCTCAGCCCCTCTTGCCCTTGCAGGTTTGACCCCTATGTACTGCATTACCTGGGTTCCCTTGTAGGCTGGACTTGTAGCAGGGTCAGCCATCAGGGGTATCCACATGAGGCTGGAAGGCAGGAGAGGAGACAGGTTGGGGTATTTCTCCTCGGCTCCTACCTGTGCAACACTGTGGCTCCGACCACATGTGCCCTCACTCCCCATGGATGTGCCCTTCCCCTGGGCCACTCCCCCATAAGCAGTCCTTCCAACTTCGTCTCTTCCATTGGGCAGGGGCTTTCTGTTTCCTGCTGGAGCCCTGATTCTCATGCCTCATGGAAAAAGATTAGGACCAAATCTTTGGCCACCACCTCCCCTTCGCCTCCCTCCTCCCTGCCAGGGGAAATAAAGATGACAGTGTTGACTGTATCCCCACCCCCAGGACCTAGGACATGCGCTCTGGTTACCCTCTTTCCTTGTTGCCACCTTCCAGGGGCAGAACTGAATCTTGTACCCACTCCCATCAACCCACTCCCTGGGCTTGACTACATCAGGACTGGGTGCCCCTCACATGGTCTGCCCAGTGAAATTGGCATTTGGATGCCATTGGAAGAGACAGACCCTCAGCTCTGCCCAGGCTCCAGCACCCTGTATAGCTCGCCACTAGGCTGCTGCTGCACACATGTATGGTGTGTACCTGGTCCTGGAGAACCCCAAGTATGGGGTTCCTGAGTAAGGAACCCCTGGATAAGGACAAAAGTGATAGAGAACTTGCCATTTAGCTGTTCAGACATTTTTTAAAAAACTGTTTGAAATGTGGATCCAAAGAATTTTACCTTTCCAACAAACTCATTCTCTTTATTTTTAATTAATGAACTTGTTACTTTGTGCTTTTTTTTTCTCTGTGGAACAACCTTTGCTTCATGGAAGCAAGGAGATGTTTCCAGCTCCCGTGAAGATGGGAAGTATACAAAGCTGTGGCTCTCACTTGAGTGCAGCCAGCTACTGGAAATGTCCCCCACGTTTATGATGTTAACATTAGTCTACCAGTGTGTGGGCAGCGGGCTCTGGCTTCCAGCTGCAACAGTAATATTACATGTGGCCAATTCTTTAACCCACACATGGATACACACTGACCACTCTTCGCAAAATGGTAGAGGCCACATGTGGCCTCCTTCACAGAGAGATGCAATTAGGTCCAAAATGGCAAATCACATCCTGTTCAGGTCCTGGAAAACCTTAGGAGGCATTTGAGTGCCAGGAAGGCCATTAGCTGCTACAATAGCCAGTGAACATCCAAAAGGCCTTTCCTTTGCCAAGTTCTCTTATCCTTTCACGAGTCGTGGAAGTAAAGGTCTTGACGTTGGTGTGTCTTCCAGGATCCTTTAATGAAATCTTTATTAATTTCATCAGACTAGTGCAAAACCCAAATTTTCCCTGGCTTGAACTATATAGAAAAAGAAAAAAGAAAATCTTTCTGAGAGTATCAGAAAGATTAATTGGATTAATTTGAAAGGATTCAGTATTTGATATGATCCCATCTGTTCCACTTATGTGCAAAAAAGGATGAACTCTGAGCATTCATGTGTACAGAGCATACACATATATACACACATACACATGTACAAATACACGTGTGCATATATTCACCCATGCATGCGTATCCACACTTATGTATTTATCATTGTACACTGTACACCTCCTATATCCCCATTATGATCATGTATCCACCTGTGTGTGTACACGCATGTGTGTGTGTGTATACACTGAGCTTGAACCAAAGACCTTTTTCAGAGAAACAGAACCCATTCCCTTTGTTTAGAAGAGAGCACAGAGGTGTACCTTCAGATTGCTGAAGAGCAGAATGACAAGGTTGCTTCTGGTTTACCTTGAATATAAAGGAGAGTTTGCCTTAAATAAGAGTAGAAACCATTTTTTATTGATCTACAGAAAAACACTCATTGATCTACAATTTGGAACCCACGAATAAATCTGGAGCACTGAAACAGCTTTGTGAATTGTGAAAGGCAACTGGTCCTCTTTTTCTTCAGTGGGAAGGTATATTCATGGGATTATATAGATTCCATAGATTCCATCATCCTACTGTCCAATCCCCCACAGCCTTTCCCAACCAGATGGATGCGGGGATTAGGTAACAGAATTCCTCTTAATGTATGTATAAACACTCTTACAAAGCAGATACATACTCCTGCCTTTTTTTTCCCGAGCCATAAAAATAATGTTTATATTATACTTCTTGGAATCGTAACTCTAAAATGCCATCTTTTTTTAAATGGCAGGATTTGGGCAGCCCTGGTGGCTTAGCAATTTAGCGCTGCCTTTGGCCCAAGGGGTGTGATCTTGGAGACCTGGGATGGAGTCCCACGTCGGGCTCCCTGCATGGAGCCTGCTTCTCCCTCTACCTGTGTCTCTGCCTCCATCTCTCTCCCTGTGTCTCTCGTGAATAAATAAATAAAATCTTTTTTTAAAAAAATAAATAAATGAAAATAAAATAAAATGGCAGGATTAGGTTATTGGCTTCTCCAGAAAGCAGCCATCATAAGTTAACAAAATGCGTGATATAGCAAATCAAACACAAAAAAGAAAAATTAAAAACATAACCTACACAGTGGAGTTTCCATGATGTTCCAAAAGCACCCACTGGCCCCAGGCTTCTCTGCTCCTACTCAACAGTCTGTGTGTGAACTCACCCTCAGAAGGCAGAGCCCTTGAGATGCTGACAGGGCTCCCAAATATAATCCCCGACTCCTCTCTCCTATTACACTGTTTGCTTATTCCCCCCAGTAATCCACTGAACCAGTCACTGAGAGGTTAATGAAAAAACAACTTTATTTGCAGAGGCTGAGACTTTGGGATAACAAAATACCCATGACAGCCCTTCCACCACGGTGTAGGTTAATCGCAGTGAGCCTGGATCTCAACAATGGGAATCTCATCAAAGTTCTTAAAATCAAGGACACTGTGCAGCTCACCAAAATGTTCCCACCAACCTGGGTAGGATGGGAAACTTATGAGTCAGTAGCACATGGCTCTAAGAATAAATCCTCAGAAAGGCAACTCTGTGCCTACTAACTATTAAATTATTATGCTTATCCGAAACATCCTTTTGAGTATACTAACCAATAGGCTGTCTCTTGCCGTGAAGTTTGTGTTCATTTTCATGAGTCCTAGAAATTATTTTTAAAGTTATTTTGAAGATCCATTTCAACCTACCTCCAGAACTCATGACTTACTTATTGTACCTTTCCCACATCAGATAAAATTAAAGTAACCCAGAGGTTCAGGAAATTCAGTTTCCCACCTAAGCCAACCCAGAGATACTGTAAGAGGTTAGATGCACTTCCCAAAAGTTACAAGCTGAACTGGGCAGTTAAAAATCTCCATTTTCTTAACCAGATCTTTGTTGCAGAAACCTCCCCATCATCCCCCCCCCCCCCCCGCCCCAGCTTCCTGTTGCCCACCCTTCAGATTTCTAGTCACCTCCACAAGGTGTTTATTTAGCTTTTGGCTCTAGGCTTGATGGGTGGGGGCTCAGAGGGAGGAGCTGGGTGGCCGGCTGAGATGCCATCAGCTGGGAATGTCTGAAAGAATCCTCCTCTTGAGCCTCCTGTTCTTTGGGGTCCAAAGAGGCACCCTCTAATAGATACCAGGAGATTCCCTTCCTCTGCCCCATATGACCCCTCTCTCCCAGTATCTGCTTTTTATGTTTGTTTCACCCAAGTTTTTTGAATAAAGGCGGTCCTTTAGTACACAGGTCCGGAAAATGTAGGAAAAAATCAAACCTAGATCTTGAAAAAGCATGCAAATGGAAAATCTTATGTGTCTAAGACACCTTCCTTCCCCCTCACACATTTCCGTTCTCCTCTGCTATCTTTTGATCCCTTAAAAACAAAAGCAACAAGACAGGACGCCTGCTAATGCTGGCAACATGTCTTGGAGATCATGGGTACTGACTAGCGAGCTATCATAATGCAACAAAATGCTATTATATAGAGTGCACTTTCTTAATAAAGGTTGTTAATATAGACATTTTCACAGGGCAATTGTTGTAGGAAAAGAGTCGAGCATCTAGCCAAAGAATATAGCATATTCCTTTTACTGTCTAGGAAGAAAAAAGAGAGAGAGAGAGAAATTCTCTATTTAAAATAAAAGTGTGGTTTCTTAGCTTCCACCTGGACATGGGTTGTAAATCCTCACCAGGCCCTAGGTCTCCCAAAGAATATGAAAAACAGAGGTTGCTCCCGGTTTTTCCACAACTAGAGTTTACGGATAAATCCAGCTGTGGACACCCATCATCACTCCGTGGACTCAAAGCCAGGGCCTGAGCCACAGCGACAACAGCGCTGACCACAGTCCCACCGTGGCTCTTTCTGAAACCACCCTGCAGCTTCATTTGGTCCTGCTCTCCAGCTGTCTGGGCCCTTGCTGCTCTGGACATGTACGACCTGCAGTGGGTAGCGGAAGATCACAACCTTAGACTGACCTAAGGCCAAGGAGTTCTCTTGCTCTCGCGGTAGGAGGTCCGAGATGCCCAAGTCCTAGCCAGGCAGGGTCTTTTAAATCTCTGAAGTTGCTCCAGGTTCAGGGAAAGTCCGCCTCACCTCGGGAGAAGGCAGGCGACTGTGCCCACCTGCGTGCACAAAAGTTGGTAACACTTCCCAGGATCCACACGTTGCAGAAGAAAAGATACTTGTTTTCAAAAAACGTGGCTCCTTCTCCCAGCAATGGGACCCCTGGTCACTCACAAGCGCAGCCCAGGGTAGAGGAAGGACCTGTGCCAGCCACATTTTGCTTTACTGGAAGTGCAACACCGTGTCTGGAAGCTGCAAGGGGAAATAGGACAGGAAAGGGATCCCGAGCTGGTAAAAGCCGCCCTGGACGTGCGGGTCGAGCATCAGGGAAGCATTGAAAGGCGGCCGGAGGCTTGAGGAGGTGGCCAGAAGCGAGGCACCCAGACAGCTGCCGGGGCCCGGCTTGGCGCCCCCCAGGAACTCGCCCCCTCCAGCAGGCTTCTGACCGTGCCGGCCGGCCAGGATGCTGTCTATGCTGAAGCTCTTGGACTTGTCGGAGCTCTTCGGAGAGCTGCGGGAAGCGGGGCGTGGGGGGGACCCCGGGCCATCCGCGCCATCCACCGTGCACGCTGGCTGGCCTATGGCCAAGGCCGCGGCGCCCTGGACAGCATCGCCGGCGTCCTCCCCCGGGGACGCGGGCCCAGACCAGCGGAGGGGCGCGGGCGGAGAGGAGCCGTCCCGGAGCGGCGAGGGGCGCGCAGGCGCTCCCTCCTGGCCGGGGGTCTCGGGCCCGCGGCGCCCTGCCCGGCTCCCGGCCCCGCTCCCCGGCCCGCTCCCTGCCCGGGGCTGCGCCTCTGAGCCGCGCTGCTGCGTCTCGCCGCGGGCCCGCTTGGCCTCCGGGGGCCCCGGGCCGGGCTTGGGCTTCCTCTTCCGCCGCCGGTAGTTGCCGTTCTCAAACATATCCAGGCAGCGGGGGTCCAGCGTCCAGTAGCTGCCCTTGCCGGGCCGCCCCTTCTCGCGGGGCACCTTGACGAAGCACTCGTTGAGCGAGAGGTTGTGGCGGATGCTGTTCTGCCAGCCTTGCCGGTTGTCGTGGTAGAAGGGGAAGCGGTCCATGATGAACTGGTAGATGCCGTTCAGGGTGACCCTCTGCTCGGGCGCGTCCTGGATCGCCATGGCTATGAGCGCGATGTAGCTGTAGGGCGGCTTCTGGGGGGGCTCCGCCCGGCCCGAGGCGGTCAGAGCGGCCGCGGGGGCGAAGGCCAGAGGCAGCCCGGGCCTCTCGGGGCCGTACAGATAGAGCATGGGTGAGGCCGCCAGTGCAGGCAGCCGGGGCCCGAAGAGGTGGCTCATGGCGAGGCAGCCGGCCCCGCGCTCCCCGCGACGACGCAGGCGACCCAGCGGCTTAGGGACTGCGCCCCGCTCGGCGAGGGCCCTCCCGGGGAGCCCGCCGTGCGTCTGCCTCCCGCTCTGCCGCTCTCCCTGGCCGCTCCGTGCTCTGTCCCTTCATGGCTTTAAAAATGTTAAATAATTGTTGTAAGTTTGCTATTATATGTTGACTTAGCGCTGGAAAATAAATTGTCTATGATAAACAGTCGTTGTGTGCTCAGCCCACCCACATTAATTAAAATTTCATTGCTGAAAAACTCCAAGCTTTTCCCTCCACGTGTCTTTTTGATACCAGCCAATCGGTTTCGGGGCTATTCCTTCATTTGTTTATAGAATTAGTCTGTTGATAAGTCCGCCCACCCAAGTTGAATCAAGCTGTGTTTATTTGGAAAAATTTCCGGGCACCCAATATATAAACGCACTGATCTGATGTTTGAAATATCACGTCCACCCCTTGACGCTGTAAGCACACACAGTCAGTGAGGCAGGATGTGGACCGCGGTGGCTCTGGCTCCAAGCGGGGTCTGCCCGGCCAGGAAGGAGAGGTGGGGATGGGCGGGGGGCACAGGGGTGAGTTTTACGGCTGGCTTGGGGGAGCTCAGTTATCCAGAGCCTTCCACAAAAGATCTTTTCTTCTCTCTGCACTCATAGATGTGGAGATGGCACGTCTCATAAATGCCTCCTGAGGTCTTTGAAAGCTTTTAGATATTTGGGTGGAGGGAGAGGCGTGTCTAAGAGGTCTGGGAGTCTCCGGTGCAGAGGGCGCATTGCTCCTTGGAGAAACCACTGAGATGTCCTGCAGGAGATGGAGGCACTGGGGGATGGGGGGGTGGAGGGGGCTGGTATCCAGGAGGGGGTAAGCCTCTATGTCCAGGGCTCCCTGGGGGACCCAGAAGAGGCCCTCCAGGAGCCCAGCTTCTCCCAAAGCCAAGGCATAGGGTGTTGGGGAGCTAGAGAGGGCATGGGTACGTGGTCCACAGCTTAGTTGAGGGTAGTATCAAAACAAACCCTGTTTGGAGAGGTCAGTGGGGAGAAGCTAAGGTCCTTCTGATGGGACTGAGGAACACCATAAAAGGGGAATTTGGCAGCTGTCGCAGGAGAGCTGGTATTTGTGAATGCGGGTCTCTTGCTTTATATTCTGCGCTTTCCTGTTTATAACAAGGAGGGGGGTTATAACAACTTTACAAGTGCACGCAGCTGGCCCGTGATTACATTAAGCATTTGGGAAGCCTGCTTGCTCTCCACCTACCCGCCCCCTCACCCTGGGGTGTAAGCACCCCCACCCTGTCTCATTTTACATTCAGCCACGTCATGCTTTGAATCAAAAACCCTGAATGATGCGGGTTCAGGAGCCGTCTCCTGCTCCACTGCTGCTGTGGGGTGGGGGTGGGGGCATCAGCGGGACTAGTTCCTGTTTATGATCTCTGCTGAATATTTTTAAAAGAAAAAAAAACGGGATAATTGAATTAGCGTTTCATTGAATAAACCCTGTGGGGATGCCTCCAGAAAAGAGTGAGGAGTGAGGGCGGCAGGTGGGTATAGGGGTGGCCCACCACCTTGCTCTGCTGGGAAGGGGGTGAGAGTCACCGGAGTGCCCGGGGGAGGGGCATGTCTGCCGCTGGGGTCACAAAGAGGCCACATCTGGTTAGGAAAGGCCAGGTCACCCCTGAACAAGGGAAAGACAGGAGAATCCCACCCCAAAATGGGGAACCCATAAAGTAACTATCTTTTGGGGGGTGGTCTGGATAGATAGTAGGGCAGTGGGTAAGTTTGGCACACGCAAAAGGAAGGCAAAATCAGGGTCGGAAAAACCGGTTTGGGTGCAGGGCGGCTTGAGGGAGCGCCAGGCCCGGCGCTGGGACAGCCCCGGGCCTCCCTCCGGGGCGCTGCATTTCTAACTTAGGCCAACCGTCCAGCCCAGCCTGACTCCAGCCTAGGTGTTGAGGATGGCCCTCTAGCCAGGAGAGAGCTGGGGGCTGCCCTCTCTCTGGATCCCTGGCTCGCCCCAGAGCACCCCTTTCAACCCTGGGGTGAAGGAAACACCTGAGCGCCCCAGCATATGCAAGCCGCGGTTCCATAGTCCCCGGGGTCACCCAACCTCTCCAGACCTGCGCGGCCCCCGGCAAATTCAAGCTTGGATCTGGCCAGAGGTCCGGCCTCGGCTCCCGCTCCAACAGACCCAGAGGAAGGGACACCGGTACCCTTGCGCACCGCCCCCTCCGCACCCCGAGCCCTGCCTGGAGCTTGCCCGGCACCCGGAGTCCAGCACGCACATCCCTGCCTCTCCCGAAAGGCGCGCCTCCGCAGCGCTACTTCTAAACTCCCAGGCAAATCCGAGCTTGAATTCGTTCAGTAAGAAACACCGCCCAACTTGGGCCAGGGCGGGACGCAGGCGGGGACCGCGCGGCTGGTGGGCGGGGCGCTGGTAGTAAAGAAAGAAACGAAAAAAAAAAAAAAAGAAAAAGAAAAAGAAAAAGAAAAAACACCCAAGTTCTAGCCGCGGTCTGGAGAGGCGCGTCCAGTCCCGCGCGTTTGCAGATTTGCAGCATCTCGGGGCGGTTCCGTCAGAACTGCGTGGCGCCCCAAAACCCGGCTCCCGCGCGGGGTCGAATCCTGGGCTCCAGGGCAAGGAGTTTGTAACTTGAGCCTAGGAGGGGCCCGCCGTAGGAAGGAGCCCGCTCTGGGGCATATTTCCGGGGAGTCCATGGCACAAGCCCCTGGCGTCCGAGTGCGGATGCGCCCTCGTGCGGAAGCTCGGTGCGTTGAGGCCGGATCCGAGGCCGGGGGGGGGGGGGGGGGGGGGGGGGGGGGGGCGTGCAGAAGAGCCTGGGAGACAGCCAGGCTGACTGGCTATCCCAGAGAGCCAGACAGGGACACTAAAAGTTCTCCCTAGGCTCAGTCTTCAGATCGCCCCAAACATGCATTCATCTCTGAAGTCAGTGCCAGGGCATCTCCCAGCCTGCAGCAAAGCCCTGAGATTTTCAGCCTGCCTGGAAGCTCCCAGAAGGACAGTGGGGGTTCCTATCTGGGGTCAGCATGGGATGAGGGCAAAGAGTATTGTTTCCAGCCCCCCACATCCCCCCTCCAGGCAGAAAGCCTGCTCCTTGGGCAGTCTGTGCAGAGGCCAGGCACCAGGCAGGACCAAAGAGGCCTCAGGGGAAAAGGCTGAGGGGAGGGCAGAAGCAGGAAGTCTTCCCTCCTGGGGGCATCTACCCTTCCTCTGCTCCTGGAGTCAACTGAAAAGCAGATGCTCAAATTAAGGATGATCTGCGACACCTCCCAAATATCGGCATCACTTTTCTCCAAGCAAAGACAGTTGACAAAGTATATATACACAAACGAATGCACAATCTACTACGCTTGTAATAGGTGTGAGGAGAAGGTGGGAAGATACAGGACTTATTCAGCCAGGTCACCTTACTGACATCCTAAACACAGAGATGGTGATGACAAGGACGATAGTAATAGCTCAAATGTCTTGAATGCTACTCTGGGCTGGCATCCTCCTAAGGTCTCCCTTGGATTAAGTCACTCCTCCTCCCAGGAGTCTTGGCCATTTCCATTCTGCAGACCAGGACACTAACACCAGGAGGTTAACACGAGGAAGTGTTGCTAAGACAGGAGAATAATCCCACCGTAACAGGGCTACTGTGTGTGGATGCCAAGAGCCCCATGGAAACTCTCTTGAAAACCCTCACAGCATCTACAAAACACAGAAGTAATGGATTTGCCCATTTTACAGATGAGATTTGGAATGGGCAGTGAACACCTCCAGAAGTGGAGGCCATAAGTAGCAGAACAGAGTGTTGGAATGCACACATTTTTCTGCAAAGGTGGATTCTCTGAGGTCTGACATCCTCAGGTGTCTGCAGAGGCTCAGAGAGGTGTGTCTCGGGCAGGGTCTTCTGCTGCTTCCCTTGTGGGGAAGTGAGCCACAAATGCAATACTCAGCCAGTCTGCTAAAGCCCAGGAGCAGGGCAGGAACTTCCAAATTACTGATTTCTTTGGAGCTCATAATTTAAAGGGTCTAAATCAGAGGTGGTCGGAGCATACCAGTATGTAGCCTGACATGCACAGCTGGCCGAGACCAACGAACCACGGCTCTTCTTGGGTTGGGGTAAATCCCAACGGCTAACAGTGAGTCCTTCTAGGGCCTGGCCATTACCAAAGGACCCTCCTGACGCGTATTGGGTTCCCACAATCCTCAATGACAACCATATTTGATGATCCTATCAATTCTCGGTTGAGAAATGGGCTCAGAGAGCTGTAGGGAGCACAGCTGAGGTCATGCAAACCCTCCATTGGCCTGTGTGGAGGTCCTGAGTCGGTGCATGTGGCCAGGAGTCAGCTTAGAAAGCTCTGTTGAAGAGGCTGCCTGTAAAAACAACACACAGGCAGAGAGAGAGAGAGAGAGAGAGAGAGAGAGAGAGAGCCCCCACGGGCTGTTGGGAAAGGTAAGACCAGGGCCAATGGCCACTAAGCCAGGGGTCAGAGAGGCCTCTCTGGCCTCTGTGACCTCCACCCTGGGTGGGCATACAGACTGAGCACAATGCTATACCCCAGGCTGGGGCAGCACTCCCCATGCTCCGCAACTCCATTTCCTTAAAGGGACCTATGCAGCCAGGGAGCCAGTCCATCTGCCAGCCCACCCCCCTCCCTCTATGCCAGTTTTTCTCACACACACAGCCCCAAGATAAAGCCCCCACCAGCTTCACCTAAGCACCAAAGATCCACATTCAAGAACTACACTCTACACGGGCTGTGTCCTTCTGTGTTTTCTGTGAGGCAGGAAAGTTGCAAAAGCCCGGAACAGGCTGGCACAAATCAAGGCAGGGATGTCCACTCAGGCCCAGTGGCAGACTGCAGACTCCCTGAAACATCCCACCCCCTTCTTTACATGCCTATGTCCAAAAGCAAACATTTCAAATGCCTTGCTTTGGCTAGCTCAGGCCATGCAAAAAGGAGGAGGCAGGGAATGCTTCTCAGAGTTTGGGAAAGCATTTCGAGTATGTGGTGCCAAAAGGCCCTCTCTGGTGGCACTGGCCTTGTGTGTCTACTCACCGCTCACCCAGAGTCTAGCCCCTGGCCGCCCTGGGCTGGCTGCCCCTCAGGCCTCTATCCATGTTCCCCACAGCCTGAGGGTCATGAGTGTCCCATCCAGGACGATGCAGGTACCCGTTCCCTGAGGCACCAGGCACAGGTTCTGAGACCCAGAACCCAGCACGTTCTTGAGAGACTTGGTTCTGCCTGTTAATTAATGTCTCTTTTCAGTTTGCTGTTTCCGCCCATTTCAGATTAATGGTTTTTAATGAATTCCCATCACACTGACCTTGGCCAACACCCTGTGCGGAGGTTTGATTTGGGGTGGGGGCAAGGAGTGACAAGGCAAGTGCTCAGGCACCAGGGCTAGTTTTCATGGGAGATTTGGGAACTCTGCTCTCTCTGCTCTGAATGCAGCTCACAAGCCTCTCCCAGGCCCAAAGGCCACCCCAGGCAGTCTTGGGGTAAAGGAGAGGAGATGGACCCCTGAAAGATTTATGAGCCAAGGACCTAACTTCCCAGGACCCTAGTTTGCTCCTCCCTCCCGCTTCTGATCTCCATTTCTTTCAGCAGGGCAAGGGAGTGGGGATAAGTGAGGGCCCATCATGGGAGCATGGCCATGCCAGAAAGGAAAGTGCTAGACCGCCCCAAATGCCCTTACAAGCAACCAGTCATTTTACAGATGAAAAGACTGAAACCAGGAAGGGAAATAGTTTGTTCACACAGCATCACCTGGTCTTCGAATTCCTAGCCCAGTGCTCCAGCATTTAGAAGGCACATGTCACCACTGATTTTGGTGTGGGTGAGGATTGGCTACTTAAACCAGAAGATGAAGACTACCTGGCTGGAGACCCAAGTCTGGCCTGGGAAGAGAAGCCTGGGCTGGGCCACACAGGACAGTCCCTCTCCCAGAAAGTAGTGAGCTTGCATGTCTCCGAGTCTTGGAAGAAGCAGAGGCTACTCAAGCTGCAGCCTCTGTGGAGCGGGGAATGTGTGGGATTCTAGAGGCCACAGAGTCTTTCCAAGCAGTCCATGTCTGTCAAAACGGGGCTCTGGTTAGAAACAGTCCGCGCAGCCAAGGCCAGTAGGACATCCGGAGTTAACTCTATGGGAAATGGTCTCTGCCGCGGTGTTGTGTTGGGGTTGCTTGTATTTTATTTGCAGTTCCTTGAGACCTGCCTAGCTCCACGGTTACTGGATCAGGAAGGAACGTGGTTATCGGGACGCGCCTTCGTGCAAATTGCGCCCGGAGGACCACAGAGCTGCTTGGCCAGGAGTTCTGGCAGCCAGCGACCAACATTCCGGCCCTTCCATCCACGACCTCCTTTTCCCTTTCTCTGATAGGCCCTGGGCCTCCCGAGGACTGAGGATCCAGTGGCCGAAGCAAGGGGAGGCCAGCGGATACGTGGAGCAGGGACAGCCTTTGTCACCCGCACACGGGCTGTCTTCGTGCGCCAGGCAGCGGACCCGCAGGGGTCGCCGAGGTTCGAGTTGGCCCCCGGATTGCCTCCACCCTGCGGGGCTCAGCTCCTCGCTGCTGGATCTCCGAATCCCGCCGGGGGGGGGGGGACCAACAGACGCCCCCAGGCCACTCAGTCCCTAGGCCCGAAGTCTGCATAGGGCTGCTGACAGCAGGGCGGCTGCGGCTGAGCTGAGTGAGCTAGGAGCTCAGTGCCCAGCACACAGGGCTGGCCTTCTGGGGCGCTTACCCACACCTACCCTGGTCCCGGGACCTCAGACTCGGAAGCTTTCCGGGGACCGAAGGCGTTCCAGCGCACCCCAGCCTTCCACACCTCTCCCCTCTGCCGCCTTCAGAGGCCTGTATAAAGCCCCAAACACCAACCTTCCAGCTGCCCACGTTCCTAAGGAAATGGAAGGACCCCTGGCCCGCTGTGGCCTCCATGGGGTGTAGGGACCTTTCTTGAGCTACTCACTTGGGTGAGCGGCCGACGCACAGTGACTTCTTTCAGAAGCCTCCCCAGAGACAGTAGATCCCAGTGTGGCTTCAGCGGCAGCCCAGGTCTCACCCAATTCTTCCCCATTTCTCTCTCCTTTACTTCCCGTGTGTCTCTCAGACCTCGCCTGAATTCCAAATCTTGAGATGAAGGCAAGCTTTCAGGCTGGACTCTTAAGAAAAATCTGGAGAAGGAGAAAGCCAGCTAGACCACTCTCCTCTAAACCAGCGGCAAACATCATCTTAAGAACAGGAACGAAATGGAATTAGAGTACCAGAGCTGGGCAAGGAGGTTGGTCTCTTCTGTGGGAGTGAGAGGGGACTCAGTCTCCCTCTCTTCCCTAGCTGCTGGTCCAGCTCACTCAACCAAAGCAAGGGGGCCTGGGGGAGGCTCGAGGTCAAGCAGCAAGCACTGAGGCTGCCAGATTCCGAGCTCTGTGGAAAGGAATAAAATGCAGCATTTAAGTCTTACCCGCCAGCCACCTCTGCGGCTATGGATCGAAAGAATCTGTGTTGCACATATGGGGAGATTTATTATGCTCACACGTCCCCCAGTTCTACTTCAGCGTGACTTAGAGACAAACTGCCACGGCTAAAACAACAACACAAACCCAGGTTATGTTCAGCGCCACTGCATCCAGGAAAATCACTTTTTGGAAAACTCATCATCACGTGAAATGTTAAATTCACAAGGAGCTTCGCTCTTAGCAAAGTACAGCTCACCTATTTGGGTGGGAAACTCCTTCCCAGTTTGGAGCTCTGGCCTCAAAATTCACACACAGAGACTAGCGGGGGAGTTGTGCTTTTGGTCCAGGGAAACAGATAATAAAACCATTCCCCTGCCCCAGCCATACCTCACAATGGTTTCACTGCTATTAAAATTTTTTAAAAGACATCAAACTCGAAAAGGCAGGTAATCTTCCTGTTACTTAAAGTCCTGAGAGTTGATAAATTCAGGACTCTAAAAGCATTGGAAATTATTTTTGATGGCCAACGAGCCTTTACAATTTTTCACTGCAATAGGGTAAGGATTAAGAAATCAAATCAAGAAGGAAAGAGGTCTGGAATCCACCTCTGATCTAACCACCACCGAGAATGGCCGTAAAATGCTCCAGAATCAATCCCCTTTGGACCTTCTCCTGCCCACTTCAAATTCTTTTCTGGAAAATCATTACAGTGGGGGAAGGAAGTCCGCATTTTAGGAAATGGAGGGAAAGCAGGACTCCCCCGGTTTGTAGTAGTTAGCTAATGGAAAACGCTTATCTCTCCCCTCCTTTGCCTCCTCAATTGGGGATGGCTGGACGTTGAGATGTAATGGTACTGTTTGTTTTGACAATCGGCATGTTTTGTCGCATTTAGCAAAAAGCATTTACAGCAAATGACACGACTGCGCCCACTCCTTCGGGCGGCCGCATCCAACCAGGGCTGTTTCTCCACTGCCTAGGCCGGGTGAGATCTAAATTAGTCGGAAAGTCTTTTCCATCACTAACAATACAATAGGGGAGTGCCCCCATTTCTCCGTGATCATTTGTATATGTCTAGGAGTTTACCCACCTGTGTAACAAAAATAATCAAAACAGGTGGATTTGCAAACACACCTTTTTTTTTTTTTTAAATGCGAGAACACAAACACACTGTCCGGACTTTGGGCAGAAAAAACAACATGGGTTTATTTTAAGGTAAGTACAACAATTAAGACCACATAAGACAAACACAGGTGAAGTTAAATTTTTAAAGATTTTTTTTTCTTTTAGGAATGCTCAGGGAGGAACCTACTATACAAAACCATCACACTTTGTAAATATAAAGTATCAGATACTTGACTTCTTTATCCGCCAACAACAAAAAATAAATTATTTCCTTGTTTTGTAAAAGACCTACCACCGGGGAAAAGAATCATATCTCATAAGTGTACAGGGTTTTTTTTTTTTTAAAAAAAGAAACACCCCACATGGGTTTCTTAAATCTTCATTTTGGCAGTTCGAAATGGTTGGGCAAGATGAAAAACATTATCCAGTGAACTCAACTTTAAATATTATATTAATGGCTCTGAACAACAACAACAAAATAGCCTGATTACAAATCCACACATTTGTACAGCACGGTTAGAGAAATTTAAAATTACACACAGCACAAAGGTAATCTATAGAGGCCCCCATAGACCTATGGGGGTCTCTACAGAGAGTCATTACTGGGTCGCTATGGGATTTGGTCCGTAACTTAATTTTGGAAACCCCAGCTGGAGCAGCGAGCACAACCATCCTGGGAGGGGAGAGGGGAGAGGGGAGGGGGCGGGTGGGTGGGTTTAGAATCAATATTCATTTCGCCGGGCTGCGTCCCTTTACCGGGGCTTCTTAGGATCTCGGAAACGGGGGTGGGGGGAGGCATCGAATTAAAGTTACCTGCAGCTTCACAGAGAAGGGCTGAGGCTGGCGAGCGCGCTCTCTGCTCCTGGGTCTGAGAAAAAGCTGGTGGGCAATGTTTTGGTTCTTTTTGCGTCTCTGCAGCCCGAACGGTCTGAGAGGTCCGGGTCCGGGTGCGGGAGGCGAAGCCGGAGCGGGCCGGGCAGGTCAGTACTTCGTGCAGTCATAGGAGTAGGGGGCGGCGTGGCGGTAGAGAGATGGCGTGGATCTGTAGGGCAGCTGACAGCTCGCGTTGGTGCTCACCTGCGGTTCCCCGAGGGTCGAGTTCTCCATCCCCAGCCGGTGAGAGTTGAACATCTCCCGGACGTTGGGGAAAGTCTGCTGCTGGGCCGCGAACGTGTGGCCCGGGAGGTGGTTCAGGTCCCCGCCGTGGTTGAGATACCAGGAGGCGGCGGCCTGGGCGGCGGCGGCCCCGGGCTGGGGCGCCGGCTGGGGCTGGGGCGCCGGCGGGGGCGGGGGCGGGGGCGGCGGCGGCGGCGCCTGCGGGTGGTGGTGGTGGCCGTGGTGCTGGTGGTGGTGGCCCGCGGCAGCGAGCGCGCCCTCCTGGCCGGCGGCGAGGTTGAGGGCGCTCAGGGGCGACGCGGGGCCGCTCGGGTGGTCCGAGAGGGCCTCGTCCAGCGCGGGCGGGACGCACATGTGCGCGGGCCGCTCGGCGCCGGTGTACAGGCTCATGGCGCGCATGCTGCACTGGTAGCCCCCCGCGGCCCCGGCCTCCAGGCCCTGCGCGCACGGCTGGCCGTAGGCGGCGGGCGGCGCGGCGGCGTAGGACAGCGCGAGCGGCGGCACCACCAGGCCCGCGCGCCCGGCCGCGGGGCTCAGCTCGCCGCCCGGCGGCGAGGTTCGCAGCGTCATGATGTTCTCCACGCTGAAGCCGGGCAGCCCGTTGGGCGCGCCGGCGTGGTGCTCGGGCAGCGAGCCGTCGGGGGAGCCGGCGGGCGTGGAGGCGCTGCTGCGCGGGCTGCCCTGCAGCGCGCTCTCGGGGCTCAGCGTCTCCACCTTGGTGATGACCGGCAGCGCGGGCGACGCCGCCTCGCTCTTGATCACCACCTTCTTCTCGACCTCCTTGGGGGCGTCCGCTAGAGGGGGCCCGGCCGGGGCGCCCTTGGCCGCGGCCGGGGGCGGCTCCTTGAGGTGGGCCCGCTCCTCCTTCTCCTTGGGCACGTCCTTTTTCTTGAAGCGCCGGCGGCGCCGCAGGAAGCTGCCGTTCTCGAACATGTTGTAGGAGTCCGGGTCCAGCGTCCAGTAGCTGCCCTTGCCGGGCTTCTTGTCGTCGCGGGGCACCTTGACGAAGCACTCGTTGAGCGACAGGTTGTGGCGGATGCTGTTCTGCCAGCCTTGCTTGTTCTCCCGGTAGAAGGGGAAGCGGTCCATGATGAACTGGTAGATGCCGTTCAGGGTGATCTTCTTCTCGGGCGCGTTCTGGATCGCCATGGTTATGAGCGCGATGTAGCTGTAGGGCGGCTTTACGAGGTCCTTGGGCGCCGCGGGCTGGTGGTGGTGGTAGGGCGCGTAGGAGCGGCCCATGCCCGCGCCGTACTGCTCCGGGTGGCCGGAGTAGACGCCCATGGGGCTGGCCATGCCGCCGTAGCTGCCGGCCGCCCGGTAGTAGTTCTGCTCGCTCAAGTAGGGCACCACTCCCAGGGCATTGGGGTCGGACACCGAGTAGCGTGCCTGCATGCTGCGTCCGAGACGGCTCGCCGCCGCCCGCGCGCACGCACCGCGAAGCAGGCCCTGCGAGAGCCGGAGAGCGCGAGAGGGCGAGGGAGCGAGGGGAAGGGAGCCGGCGGGGGCAGACCCGGGCGGCGGCACGCCTCGGGGGCGCTCGGGGGCGCTCGGGGGCGCTCGGGGGCGCGGCGGGGGAGCGGCCGGGGCGCGCGGAAGGCACGCTCGCGGTCAGCGGACCGGGCGGATCGGCATCCTGGAGGGCGCGCCCCGGCGAGCGCAGCGCCGGCCCCCGCTCGCGCGCCCGCTCGCTCGCTCGCCCTCGGGGCCGGCGGGTGGCAGCCGGAGCCGGCGGCCGGGGACGCGGCCGAGACGCCGCGCGCGCGGGGCACGGAGGAGGCCGGCCGCTCCGGCCGCGGCAGGACCGGGAAGGCGGCTTTCCCGGCGCCCCAGCAAAGCGGCAGCCCCGAGGGTCAGCGGGCCGGGGTCCAGAGTGGCTGCCCCGCCGAGCCCGGAAAAGGAGGCAAAGTCCCTTTTAGGGATTGGGAAAAGTTTCAAAAGTCTTCTTGCTGAAAGCAAGTTTTTACTTTCCTCCAGCCACGCCCCCTCCGGGAACTTCGGGCCAATAACCCGGCGGCTGCGCGGAGCTGTCGCCAATCAGGGCGAGGAGCGCCGGAACCCGTCGGCTCTAAGACCCAGCTGCTCAGAACCAGGCTTTTCTGCAAACCAGCCTTCGCTTGGAAAGATTTTTATTAAAAAAAAAAAAAAAAAAGACTGATATCTTATGAAAATTTATTCTATTATCACATTTTGGCTTATGGGCCCACATGCCCAGAGCAAAAAAAAAAAAAAAAAAGAAAGAAAAGAAAAAAAGAAAAGAAAAAAGAAACAACCACAAACAAAACCCATGCTCCTTGGCAGATAAAGTTAGCTCGAAATATAAAATCGAATTGATTAATGTAGTCAAATATCTCCCCAAAGACCCTGTAAGTAGCAAAGACCCTGGGACTGTTTTTCTTATTAATGAGTGATGAGGCGAATAATTCGATCTCCTAATTATCGCGGCCCAGGTGTAATGGATTCAAAGCAAGCGTGCTGGATTGGAATGGAAGGGGCCTCCCCTGGATGTTGTCATCATTTAAGTAAAAAAAAAAAAAATTATTAATTTTCAACAGTTTCCAGGTTCAGGGAGGTCAGGAATAACCTAAAAGCTTTCAGAGGCAAATTGCAGAACCTGAATGAATATTCCTCTCCTCCACGGGGGGAGCCAGGCCACGGCTTCTAGAAGGGAAAGGCAGAGTGGGAGAAGGAGCAGTATCTTGAGAATTTAATCCTCAAGTGCGCCGTGGATTCGGCAAACCGTGCGCGCCACCGTGAGCAGTCCTGCAGGGTTTGGGGAGAGTGGAGGGGCTCCACTAATCCCCCCCCCCCCCGCCTCATTCCCCTCCCGCGCAGATGCTTGCAGCTCACCTTCTCCAGATTTTCAGAGCCTCTCCCTTTTCCCAGAGATAAATTCCCTTTGACAAGCTGACTCCCGCGCTCGCCAAAGACGGGAACAATGCGGCCAGCCACCCGGCCCAAGCAGAGCCGGGGTTCCTCTGCGGGAGAGGGGAAACCCAAGCCCGCTTTGCGCGGGGGCTGCGCTCCAGGACGCGCGCCCGCAGCGCCGCACCGGGCGGGCTCCCCGCGGGGAAGCTGCCCCCCAGCCCGGTGCGCTGGGTCGCCGGCCCCGGGGCGCAGGGCCCGCCTCCAGCTCCGGCGAAGCCCCTTGGGGACTCTCCAAGCTGACTTTCTGTACGCGGTCCTTTTTGTTGGTTGAAGTTTGATAAGGTGATTTGGGCACAGGGCTCCGTGGGAGAACCGCGTAGACGACCGCAAACGGTTAAGACACCTCCAGACGTTATAGAGTGGGGATCCTGACCTGGGGCGACTCGAGGTCTTCCCCTTTAAGCTGCCCTCTCTCCTCCCAGTACCCCGGAAAGTCCGTTTTTTTGTTTTGTTTTGTTTTTTGTGGACGGAGTATTTATTCCTCCCACCCCTCGAACGACCGGCTCACCCTTCCCCGCTTCCCCTTGAAGGGGGAAGGACACTCGTCCGAAGGGCTGAAGACGGATCAGAATTCTTCGGAAAGTTGTCCCTCGGTGGGGCTGGGAGAGACCAAAGATAAAACTTCTGTATTTATCCACCACCACCCCCATCCCCCCCGCCCCCGCCCCTCTTCCATCACTTGATCCCCAGAAAAAGGATGTGAGACAATCCACCCTCACCCAGCTTTGGGAGGTGAAGGGAAGGCGTTGGACACATCTCATTCATTTCCAATAGAGGAACAAAAGAAAAAAAAATCTGCATGTACATTATCTATGAATGGTATTATCTCCTGATAAATTCAAAATCAGAGGGCAAATACAAACCAGGTCCCTAGGACCCTGAATAATCTACTTCTGAAACGCTGTATTTTTTATGGGTGCTCTGAGTCTTTCTCTAAGATGATTTTTTTTTTTTTGCAACGAAATAAAGCTTCCCAGTCCTCAGCTCGCAGGTGAGTGTTTGAACGTTCCTCCACCCCACTACGACTTTATTATTTTTAAAAAATATGTTCAGATCCATCTTTCAAATTTAAAAAAAAAATTGCCTTCCTCCTGGACTGCGTGACAGGCACCTCAAGTTCTTATGACTTTACTGGAAATGCAAACTATTGATCAAGAAACACTCCTCGGGCTTGTGGGCTTCCTGGTGAAATATTATTCACTCTGCTTTTATGAGGTGCTTTAAAAAAAAAAAAAGCTTTATCACAGCATAGGACAAAAACAAAAAAAAAAAATGAGGACCATGGAAAATAAATTCCAAAATGGCAGTGTCTGTCTGAGTTCGTATTTACAGGGGTGTCCAGGTTTAAAATTACTGTCATTTGAAAAGCACTCGGAGGAGGGGTCAAAATTATTAACGCCCCCTCCCCCCAAAAAAAGCGGATTTGGGAGGAAAGAAATTTTTATAATCTAGGTAGAAAAGGTGAGAGGGATATTTTCCTTTGCCCCTGGAATTGGGTTTCTTCTCTGTTCAGTGGGACTCCGGGAGAGTTGTTTGCACAGGTTATTATAACAACATCTTCCACGCACCTGGACTTTGCAAAAAACCGTATTTCCGATCTTTTTTTTTTAACCTGCCAGGGCATTTGGGATTGGGGGGCTTTTAATTCATTGATGATTTCTTCCCCCCGCCGCCCCGATCCTGCGGTCACGGAGCCGAGAGAGGAATCGGGCCCCAGAGGGTCCTGTGCGCTGCTACAATCCCGAGCGACGCTGGAGGCAGGAGAAATTCAAGACACCCCCTCCCCCAGGTCCTCCCCCCACCGCGCAGCCTCCGGGCCCCAGGCGCCGCGGGCTCCCGCACCTGGACGCGGCTCCGCGGGCCTGGGGTGTTGGCGCCATCTGAAGGCCAACCAGGGAACTGCTTCAAAAAAAAAAAAAAAGGGGGAACCGGGCGGTTCTCGTCGCAAGGAAGGTGCTGACACCGCATGGATGCACTTTAGCATTGCACGGCAGGAAAATCTCTTAAGTCAAGAGAGAAGCTAAATAAACTGTGTGCGGCGCGTCGATTTACAAAAAAGCAAAACATTTTCCACAGCTATGCAATGTGTCAAGAACATGATCTGCTGGAAAACAGAAATGTCTTTGAAACTTCTCAGGAGCAAGAAATCCTCTCTAGGGAGATTCGCTGAGGTTCTGAGCAAATAAAATCTGTGCCTCTTAGGTGGCTAGAAGTCTAGGCATCCCCCCCAAACCCCCCAACCCCCAACCCCACCCTGGGTTGTTGAACACATTGCTTGTCCCTCTGTGTCTCCGGATGCTAGCCGTCCTCTGCCCAAGGTGTGGTGTGGGTTTCTGGGGGGATTCATCAGGAAAATGTTTGCACTGGATGTGTGGTATATAGCATGGGCTTGAACGAGAGGGAGAGGTTTAAACACGTCCGCAAGCTCCTTCTGTTTTGGAGACACAACACAGAATTCGAAGAGGCCACAAGTGAGAGGAGACCGTGTCTCCTTGGGATGAACAGAATCAATGCAACTGTGTCAAAATCCATTGCAACCCAGCTCCTAGCAATGATCTTTTTCCACGACAACAAGCGTGTCCCTGATGAAAGCTATCTGAACCTCCTTTATTGTGCAGGAATAATCCTCCTTCCCCAGGATTTAAAGTCAACTCGGCGCTGTTCACAGATGGCAGTGCCACGAACGACATAATTACAGGGGAGAGGACTGTCCTTGCTTGAAAGATGAAAGGGACATGATAACGAAAGGCAATACTTGATCCTGAGTGGAGGAAATTTAAAAGGACAGTTTTGAGAGTACCTGGGGAAATTTGAATCTGGAGTGCATATTAGATAATAATCTTGTATCAAAGTTAGAATTCCTGCGTGCAATCACTCTATGTGGTCAAGCAAGAACACGTTTCTGTTTCTGGAAGGCACATGCCACAATGTTTAGGGGTGGTATCATCATCCCTGCAACTTCTAAGATTCCCCTGCAGGTGGGGTGGGGGAGATGGAGAAGGGGCAGCACACCTAAAATGTCAAATGATAGCACTTGCTGAGCCTGTGCTGTGTGGTCATTCACTGTGTACTGTTCTTGCAACTTTCCTGTGAGTTTGAAAACATTTTTTAAAGATTTTATTTATTTACTTATTTATTTGAGAGAGAGAAAGAGCAAGCATGAGTGGGGGCAGGCAGAGGGAGAGGGGGAAGCTGACTCCCGGATGAGCAGGGAGTCCTACTCGGGGCTCAATCCCAGGACCCCGGGATCACGACCTGAGCTGAAGGCAGACGCTTCACCAACTGAGCCACCCAGGTGCCCCTTGAAATTTTTCAAAATTCAAAAAATAAAATGGGAGAAAAACCTCTCTGTTTCTCTGAAAATCTAAAAAGGGATGTGACCCAAAGCAAAGATCCTTCTATGGAAGGAGTTCCAAGACCTAATGTGGGGCCAACTTGGTCCTGGTGTCCCTTCTCCCTGTGTTCTGGATGTCTCTGAAAAATAACCAACAACCATGTGCTTTATCAAATTCACTTGTGGTTGTTAATGTAAAAAAAAAAAAAAAAAAAAAAAAAAGCTGATTCTCCATCAGTGGTCCCGCCTTCCAGTGCCATGAATCATTGTCACTAAACATTTATTGGCCAGAGCTGGTCACATGGCCCCACCCTCCACCCCCGCCCCCCCAACAGGT